GAGAAAATGAAAGTCATTCCCTATGCTTTAGCCATAGGTTCTATCATGTATGCAATGCTGTGTACCAGACCTGATGTGTGCCTTGCTATTAATTTAGCAGGGAGGTACCAAAGTAATCCAGGAGTAGATCACTGGACAGCGGTTAAGAACATCCAGAAATACCTGAAACGGACTAAGGATATGTTTCTCATTTATGGAGGTGACGAAGAGCTCGTCGTAAACGGTTACGTCAATGCAAGCTTTGACACTGATCCGGATGACTCTAAGTCTCAAACCGGATACATATTTTCATTGAATGGTGGAGATGTCAGTTGGTGTAGTTCCAAGCAGAGCATCGTGGCAGGATCTACGTGTGAAGTGGAGTACATAGCTGCTTAGGAAGCAGCAAATGAAGGAGTCTGGATGAAGGAGTTCATATCCGATCTAGGTGTCATACCTAGTGCATCGGGTCCGATGAAAATCTTTTGGGACAATACTGGTGCAATTGCCTTGGCAAAGGAATCCAGATTTCACAAGAGAACCAAGCACATCAAGAAATGCTTCAATTCCATCCGCGATCAAGTCAATGAGGGAGACATAGAGATTTGCAAGATACATACAGATCTGAATGTTGCAGACCCGTTGACTAAGCCTCTCTCACGAGCAAAATATGATCAGCACCAAGACTCCATGGGTGTAAGAATCATTACTGTGCAATTTAGATTATTGACTCTAGTGCAAGTGGGAGATTGAAGGAAATATGCCCTAAAGGCAATAATAAAGTTGTTATTTATATTTCCTTATATCATGATAAATGTTTATTATTCATGCTAGAATTGTATTAACCGGAAACTTAGTACATGTGTGCATACATAGACAAACAGAGTGTCACTAGTATGCATCTACTTTACTAGCTCGTTAATCAAAGATGGTTAAGTTTCCTAGCCATGGACAAGAGTTGTCATTTGATGAACGGGATCACATCATTAGAGAATGATGTGATTGACTTAACCCATCCGTTAGCTTAGCACGATGATTGTTTAGTTTGTTGCTAGTGCTTTCTTCATCACTTATACATGTTACTATGACTATGAGATTATGCAACTCCCAAATACCGGAGGAACACTTAGTGTGCTATAAAATATCACAACGTAACTGGGTGACTATAAAGATGCTCTACAGATGTCTCCAATGGTGTTTGTTGATTTGGCATAGATCGAAATTAGGATTTGTTACTCTGTGTATCGAAGAGGTATCTTTGGGCCCTCTCGGTAATGCACATCACTATAAGCCTTGCAAGCAATGTGACTAATACGTTAGTTACGAGATGTTGCATTACGGAACGAGTAAAGAGACTTGCCGGTAATGAGATTGAACTAGGTATTGAGATACCGACGATCAAATCTCGGGCAAGTAGCATACCGATGACAAAGGGAACAACGTATGTTGTTATGCGGTTTGACCGATAAAGATCTTCATAGAATATGTAGGAACCAATATGAGCATCCAGGTTCCGCTATTGGTTATTGGCCGGAAATGAGTCTTGGTCATGTCTACATAGTTCTCGAACCCGTAGGGTCCGCACGCTTAACGTTCGGTGATGATTGGTATTATGAGTTTATGTGTTTTGATGTACCGAAGGTAGTTAGGAGTCCCGGATATGATCACGGACATGACGAGGAGTCTCGAAATGGCCGAGACATAAAGATCGATATATTGAAAGGCTATTTTTGAACATCGGAATGGTTCCGGGTGAGTTCGGGCATTTACTGGAGTACCGGGGAGTTACTGGAACCCCCCGGGGAGACATTGGGCCTTAATGGGCCTTCGTGGGAGAGAGGAGGAGGCGTCCAAGGTGCCCCCCCAAGCCCAATCTGAATTGGGATGGGGGCCGGCCCCCCTTTCCTTCTCCCTCTCTCCTCCTTCCTTCTTCTCCTACTCCAACTAGGGAAAGGGGAATCACCCTCTCCTCCTCCACTCCTTTATATACGGGGGAGGGGGCACCCCATAGACACACAAATTGATTGTTTAGCCGTGTGCGGTGCCCCTTCCATAGATTTCCACCTCGGTCATATCGTTGTAGAGCTTAGGCGAAGCCCTACGTCGGTAACTTCATCATCACCGTCATCACGCCGTCGTGCTGACGAAACTCTCCCTCGACCTCAGCTGGATCTAGAGTTCGTGGGACGTCACCGAGCTGAACGTGTGCAGATCACGGAGGTGTCGTAGCTTCGGTACTAGGATCGGTTGGATCGTGAAGACGTACGACTACATCAACCGCGTTGTCATAACGCTTCCGCTTTCGGTCTACGAGGGTACGTAGACATACTCTTCTCCTCTCGTTGCTATGCATCACCTAGATGGATCTTGCGTGTGCGTAGGAATTTTTTTGAAATTACTGCGTTCCCCAACAGGACTAATGGGCCGTGGAGATACAAGACAGAAGACTTTCCCCGTGTCCGGATGGGACTCTCCTTGGCGTGGAAGGCAAGCTTAGCGTGCGGATATGAAGATTTCTTTCTCTGTAAACCGACTATGTACAAACCCTAGCCCCCTCCGGTGTCTATATAAACCAGACGGTTTAGTCCGTAGAGGCAATCATAATCATATAGGTTAGACATCTAGGGTTTAGCCATTACGATCTCGTGATAGATCAACTCTTGTAACCACTATACTTATCAAAGTCAATCAAGCAGGACGTAGGGTGTTACCTCCATCAAGAGGGCCCAAACCTGGGTAAACATCGTGTCTTCTGTCTCCTGTTACCATCGATCCTTAGACGCACAGTTCGGGACCCCCTACTCAAGATCTGCCGGTTTTGACACCGACAACGGGGGCGGGAGGCAGTGTGGCGCAGGAGGGCGAGAGGGAGTTTTACTCGATCGCAGCATGAAGGAGTATATTTAGAAAAATCTTGAGGGGCATAGGGAGTTGGGGTAAAAAATTATACTCCGTTAATGATTTGAGAATCGGCTAAGTCCATCGTAAGAGAGTAAACCAAAAAATTTACTGCCTTATGACCATATTAGGGATAGGTTAGAAATGCCCTTAGCCGCACTGAATCTCGCACTGTTGTTTGGCTGCGTTCTGGCGCTGCTGATGTCACTATGTTGTGTAGGACAGACTATGTACCACCTTAATTGAGCAATGAAATCTTTTCCCCCCGCAAAAAGGAAAAAAGAGATCAGGCACGAGACCTACCTATGGCAATCCATAACTTGTTGTGTTTGCCTTCGTTCCGGCAGAGATAGCCGAGTTCATCGATCCAAGAAGCTAGCCTTTCACCTGTGCGTGACGACATGCTTTCAGCTAGACGTGCGTTCAGTATTCCCACGCAAGATCAGTCAAGCAGCTAGTGTGCTTGCTTTTTTGAACTAGCTTTGCACCTACGTGTGCAGCCCTCCTGTGATTTGTTTTAGCGTTCTAAAACCAACAGAACAGGGGCACCGGAGAAAAAAAAAAGTGAAAATTTTGGTAATATACTAGTGCCAAAGGTAGTATTGTCATTTCAAACGCCATTTGACACTAGCAGCTCAAAAAGCTGACGGAGATGTTATATCTTCTACTCTTATAAAAAAGAAGTTGGTGATGATGATGTGCCTCCCATCCTGCAATAGAAACCATCCGATCTATATCTAACGGATAGAAAAGAAACTACGATAATTATACAAAAAGTTATCCGCACCCTCTTCACATTTGCAGATAAGGCCTTCCCTCAACGCACGGGCATCTTGCTAGTTAGGAATAAAATTTAGAGTCGATGTTAGATAAGGAAGAAATATTTTGTCGGTGTTAAATAAGAAAATTCAATTTTAAGGTAGTGTTAAATAAGAGATTATTTCTTTAATGGAGACCGCTAAACGTCGACGGGTCAATCCGCATAGCAACCTGGGGGAGGGGGGGCGTCCGGACGTGGTAGGCGGATAAATAGTGTGTTCATTTTAGAGGATAGCATCGAAGATGCCATAAACATAGGCATCCCAGGCCCTCCGCCGGTAGACTGCCCGTCTCCTCTCTGTCGATGGAGCTGTGCATGAACCATGAAGGCCCCGATCTATCAATTGGAAGTTGTAATTTTCTCATCTCAGGGCACTAGGTAGGTCTCCAATTGCGCGCCACTTCGATCTTCCAGTGATGGCGGCGGCGGTGTAGCACCAAACGTACGCAGCCCCCATCCCCAAAGGCAGTCTTAGCTTTATTGCAACTCTGTCGACGGAATACTCGATGGAATGTGATTCCTTTCCTTCAAAAATCACTACACTGTGAGACCTTTTTGGTGCCTAACTTTTCCAACTCAGAACAAGAATCACCATTACAACCGCTCTCAGCCAACTCGTTAAAGCAGGGGGCTGATTTTACGAATGTCACACACATAGATACTACACATCACTGAAAAGAATGGGGCAGCAAACCGGAAGGTGATCGGCTGCCATCACTATAAACAAAAGAAACAACTAGCGCAAAATTGCTTGCACAACCGTTGCATAGCTTCTCGAGTGGTGAAAGTTGGGATTGTTAGATTCTCCATTCCCAACGGCAGTGCACCAGTGGCAGTGACTAATCTGACTGAAGAAAGAGTGAAGGCCTACTCCATATAAGAGCTTTGACACCAAGTTGATGGCACGAAGATGTATCTCAATATTCACTTCCTTGGATGGAAGCTAGTCACTGTTGGGCAACACCAGGTACGGCCGAGGGTCACATTCTATTTGAATCAATAGGCAGACATTTTTCCTTAAGAGAGAAGACAAGCAGTAAGCAGGAGCGATTCAGCACAGCAAGCGAAGTAACACCGGAAGAAGCGCTCAGGTATACATGCATAGTTACATTCTGTACGACCAACCACGAAATATCTATCTCACTGTGCTCGATACTCTCAGCTTGCTCGACTGGACAGGGGGCCAGTGAAATTTAGGACAACAATATGCATCGGAGAATACCCTCTAGCAGATCATAGGAAGGAGAACACACGAAGAGCACGGAGCAGCAAGCAAGCAAAGCCAGCTTTGCAGGATGGGTCATCACCTCCCGGCAACAAGACCACTGAACACCTGGCTGTTCCCACCCAGCGTCGCCTCCCACTCGATGGACGAAAGCAGTATCTGCGACAGGGTGATCACTGCCTGCTTCATGTCCGGCCGTAGAACAGGATCTTCATCGGCACATTGTTTCGCGAGCATAGCCATCTTTACAAGGGAAAGATAATTTAGAGCGCCGAGAGCGACAGATTTATCTTTGAAGCAAAGGTGATGTGAAATGTGCAGGCAAAAGGCTATCTAGTGTTGTTTAGTGGCCAACTGGACATACCTGGTATATGCAGTCATGAGGATACAGATCCATCAGATTAGGGTCAATGCAGTCTTTCAAGCTCCCCACACACGTTGGATCGTGGCAATTCCTTAGTGCAGTCAACATCTGCCCAGTCAAACCACAGAGATCTTTTGGACTCAAAAGTGTAAAAAGGAGTCGACGAAATACCATGTAAACCTTCCAAACCTACAAGCTGTAGATTCGATGAATGCTTGTGTACAAGTTAGAGAACTTACAACTGATGCCAAGGAACGCCTTTCAGAGTTTGAACTTGCACCAACTGCGCCGGCCTTTGTAATCGCCTCCTTTCCAGATATCAACTCAAAAAGTACGACCCCGAAAGCATAAACATCGCATTTCGCAGTTGCCAGGCCGTCCCGCAGGTATCTACAAGAACAACGAAATATGGCCAGATATCAAAACTACAGTCATTTTTTTTTCTTAAACCAGAGCCAGCCGACCAGCAAGGCGTGCTTACTCTGGGGCCAAATAACCAAAAGTACCCACAACTTTGGTAACAGAAGCCTCTGCATCATTGGACCTTACTCCCAGTTTTGCAAGACCGAAATCTGAAATCTACAGCCACAGAAAATGTAGTTCTTTGTCAGACTATAAACTGGTAGAACTGATGAAAGAAAAATGTGAAATCAACAATTAACCTTCGCTCTGAAAGAACCATCAAGCAAGATGTTACTTGATTTGATGTCCCTATGAACATAATGATCTTTTGTATGCTCATGAATGTACTCCAGTCCTCTAGCAGCATCAAGAGCAATTTGGACCCTATAAATCCAAGAAAGTGGTGTGTAACCTGGAAGATTAAATAAATATCAATCAATAATGATAACTGTGTGGGAAAAAGTATAAATAAGGCTACAGAAACAAATTAGCTTAAGAAATTAGCAGTAAAAACCAAGCTAAACAGTCCTCAAGCAGTAAGCTTGCAGAAGTTATTTGAAGGTAAAATGCAATGTCAAAGGTGCTGGAACCAGTACATGTGAAAGGTTGCACAGTTAAACGCCAAAGGTAGGGGTTACACATTAGTAAATTTATAGATACCTTATGAAGAAGTCACAATATCTAAGGTTAAGAAACCTTACATAAAAAAAGTACCAGACAACAGTATACCTTTGCTTTGAGGATCATGAAGATGGTTTTTGAGTGAACCTTTTTGAGAGTATTCATAAACCAGGAACAGCTCGTCCTTACTTGCTGCATAGCCAATCAACTCTACCTTTGACAAAACATGGGTCACAAATGAAAGTCTAAATATAACAAAGATATTTAATATATAATCTAGATTGAGCATTTTGTGAGAATTATAAAATGACATACCAGACTAGCATGATGAACCTTACAAAGAACTTTCATCTCTACTATGAATTCTTTAGTATTAGTTGATGTCATTCTCTTTATCGCGACCTCCTGTAAATATCACTTGTTATTGGCAAGGTATGTCATAGGACCAGTATTCCATAAAAATGGTCAGCTTCGAGCCTCGGATCCCAGACCTGATCTCGAAGAACCCCATAGTAGACAGAGCCATATGTACCATGTCCCAGCAGATTTGCATCAGAAAAAAGATCGGTCGATGCAAGTATTTCTTCATATGTAAACACAATAGGCTTTTCCCTATCAAACACGTCTACTACCATACCTGCAATAGAGATAAACTCGTAAGTCAGAATAGCTTATGCACGGTAGGAGCAAACGGAAATAAAAGTAATCTAAATTAGCCCGTGATAGCAATAGCTTGTCATGCCAAGTTATTAAAATGGTATTAATTGTGAACTTCTATCCCAACATTCTAGTTTTTTGGAGTCTTATTTGGACAGAGTACTTGGGCACAGGTTCTCATTTGTATTTGGCTACTTGAAGCCATGCGTGACTGAACAGGTAATGAAAGTTGTGTGCTTGCTTAACCACTGTAGGACAGGTCTTAGATGATGCAAATGAAAATCCTGAAACAGATGTTCTATGAAGTCTTTCAGGTTAACACGACTCCATCAGGGACTTAAGTTGCGCGTCACTACATTACCAATAGTATTCTGTCACTCCTAAAATACAACTTCTATAAACTATCTTCCATTTAGTGTCACCAAATATATCCACACGATATGAACTTTGTGAAACCCATGTTCCGGAAGTGTTATAATGATGAGAGTCCAAGTATGGTTAACAGAAGGTGTGCTGACCTTTTGGAACATTGATATGATGATCCCCGCCACCCTTTCTTGATTGCTTCTCATTGCCAAATTGGCAGCAGAAATATCTTCCAGAACCATAACAAAAACTACCACTCTTAAGTAGTTGAAAATTATGAGGCATAGGCTGGTTTGGACTCTTTCTCTGGTTATTTGAACCTTGGTGATTGTAGTGGAAGGATTTGCACATCAGAAGTGCAAGGAGAGCAATAGCAATCAAAGCAAGTGCAACTCCCATGCCCCCAATAACCCATCCATAAGGGAATTTTGCTGAATGATGATCTGATATATCTGCATTTGTACGTCATAGAATACTTGGGTTAGTTTTATTACAATAAGAAAAATGTTGATTGGAATACTCCTAATTACCAAATTTTACATATTAAACTTGCATAATTTTTTTGACATTTTTAATGTCAATACTTGAAGAGAACTATAGCAGCCTTATAATGACATGAATAATGTGCTGAAAAATTGAAATAGAAAGATCAACTATATGAGGGCACAAGTATTGCAAATGAACATCAATACTAATATTGATCGAGAAATATTGAGATAAGCTACTCAAAACATTAAGGAATGAATTATATCAAGTACCTGGCAAAGTATTTTGAATGGGTGCTGGTGCAGGAACGAGGGCAGAAGACATTGCAGCATAAGGCTGGCCAGGAACTGCATGTTATATACACAAAGTAAGTAAAAACAGATTGAAGCAGATATTTTCCATGATAAAATTAATTAAAAAATTCCTTTAAAAAATTGCATTACACTGTAGAGGAGAGGAAGGTAAATTCATTACATCTGTAATCTGATACAGTGATACTTGCCTTTTGTAAGAGTTGTTTCCACTGAACAAAAAAAATTGATCACACGATTTTTGTTACACGGAAATAACTCAGAAATAAAATCACCATTGTACATCTTTTATGCAGCATATGTAGAAGACAATGTTTGTGTTACCCGCGAAAAAAAAAGACAATGTGTGTGATCATGTGACTTTTATCATTCCACGGAACTCTGATCCTACATACCTAGTTTTCTTTATAGTGAAATAAAAAAGAACAGTAAGAAAGTTGATGATACCAAATATGACTCTAATTATTTCAAGAGGAGGAAAATAATACTACTAAATGTATATAACAGTAAATAAACTTAAGTCTGCAGAATTAGAAAAATAAGTGGGAGGCATATGCTGGCTGAAAACATCGATATTGCCTCGTACAATTCAAGGTCAACATCGAGAAGGAAATCAACTGTGCACGCCCAGTTCTAGCTGTTCTATTTGACCTCGCCAGAGAACACACGAGTGTATAGAATATTCACTGTCAGAAATATCTGTCTTGGCACAAAACAATCTAACTTCTTCATGAAACAGTTGACAATTCAGCGCAGACACAAGAAATATGCAGCCTCTGTTCGCACGCACAGACTCATAATCGAAAGAATCGGAAAACATTATAGATCAATTAATTAGAGAAACATGCTTGCAACTACTACACGACAAGCCGACAGAAGTTGAAGGAACTGTAAATATGTCAAATAGTATAAGCTTTTGATCAAAGATCACTGAACATTGGCTCACCCGAGTTGAGTGGGATGTAGTACACCTTCCCCGTGCTGATGGGGTCGGGTCCGGGCATGCCGTTGGCGGCCTCAATGGCGTCCATGCTTGCCCCAAACCTACTCGACAGCGATTCCACAGTGTCGCCGTCGGCGCCAACGTAGCTGAGAAGGTAGTTCCAGGGGCCGGACGAGCAGCCGCAGATCAGGTGCAGTGCCACCACGGCGCCGGGGCGCGGCGGCCGCTGAAGCGCCCCGCCCGGCGGCGGAACGGCAAGGCCAGCGTACGCCGCGACCGCCACTTGGGCCGCGGTGGCGTTGAGGGGCACTGCGGAGGGGACGGTGTAGGTGGTGTTGGCGAGGTAAGTGCGGGAGGCGAGGCACGAGCAGTTCTTGCGCACGAAGGCGTAGCCCGGGCTGGCGGCGGGGTCGGAGGTGAGGTCGGCGGGCGAGGCGTCGAACATGGACTGGAGCACGCTGGCGTTGCCGGCCGCCGGGAAGGCGAGGAATGCCGTGCAGACGCGGGACAGCTCGGAGCAGGCGAGCGGCGACGAGGTGGCGTTCCCGGGGGCGGTGTCGACGGCGGCGCCCCCGCCGGAGCAGGCGAGGGCCAGGAGGAGGAGGAGGAGGCGGCGACGGGGAGGCATTGGGCCGGTTGGCTAGGGTTGGGGGCTCGAGGTGGCGAGATGGAGGTGGTGGGAGTGGGGCATGGAGGTGGCAGTGGCGAGCAGAGCTCTGGATGCTTCGCGTGGTCGGGTCACCCACGCGCACTTTGCGGGGCGGCGCTGTAGCAAGAGGACACGGGAAGAGGAAGAGAAACAAGCGTGGTCGCGGCGGGTAGATCACTGTTTTTATGCGAAATGGCCCGTAATGCCCCCACTTCACTCTCTGTGCCGTTGAGGTAGATTTGCTAAACTCAGAGCATCTCCAACGCGGACGTTTAAAATCCGGATCAAAGCCCATACATTTGTCTCAAATTCCGTGAGTAGTACGCAAATCAGGAGGGGATTTCTGATTTGCGGGCATCCGGACACACTCCGGTCCTATTCAAAAACATCTCCCGTGCACGGGACCCCTTTCTCGCGACCGCACCTTCGCTCCCTGTGCCGCATTCATGTCGGCCCATAGCAAACACAGCCGGTCACTAGAGACTGGCATTGAAACGGAGTGTCCTCTGATAGCACCGCCCGTGCCTCGTCCCCGTCTTCATGAATGTTCAATGTCGAAGAGACATGACCGGACGGGATGAGACGGCTATCTACCGCATTCAAACTGGCTGTCCGTCCGTTGGAGATGTTTGCACTAATGAATCGAGTCCGAAGAACTTGACCTATGACAATTTGCTCCTATTTCACATTTTGTGCAACTCCATTACCCCAACCAACAAGGACAAGATCGAAGGAATTGTCCGAAATGCACTTCAGGCCGTCTCGATAGGAATTTGTTTTGACCTGTCGGACTTATTCATTCGGAACTGGGCATATGCTGCTAAAGCCCCTCAAGCCCTGAAACCTTATGCTCCATGGGTTCAGTGTGTTGTTGAGCAGATTACTGGGAAGCGATACTTTTGCCCCTATATCCCGAAGTCTTACATCCCTCCTGTTTGCGATACTCTTCGAATTATCAAGGACAATGACAAAGGCAAAGCTCCTGCTGTTCCTGAAGAGAATGCTCCAGCTAATGCACCAAAGGTTAAACAGACTGTTGTTGAAGTCCCGAAGGATGAAAATCCTTCATTACGTGAGATCTGCCTTCGAACTCGGCAAACTTTGGAGAAGCATATCAAGCTAGATTGAAATGAGAAGGTTCATATGATGATCGAAATAATCAATAAGCAGAAGGCCAATGGAGGGTGTGCTGGTGGCGGACGAGGCAGGGGGCGTGCTTGTCGTGGAGGTCGGGCCCTGCCACCCTCACCGACCGTACAGACGTCGCCATGGCAGGAGCATTACAAGGCTCTGTACTACGCCACCAAGCAGCTGGGTAGGCAGTCCCTGGCATCCGCGGCCAGGCAAGTGCCCTTCATCATCGACGTCAACGCGACGCCGCTGCTTTTCTTGGAGTCTTCATCGACGCAGCTTGTTCAGTCGCAGGCACCGGGCAGGGAGCAGCCGGGTGTAATGCCCTCGATGCGGCTATAGCTCCTACGTGTCGAAGCACAACTTAGAGGCATAACCGCATTGAAAGCAATGTCACAAGAAAGGTAATCTTCACAACAACCCATGTAAATAGATAAAAGAGGAAAGGATACATAGTTGGCTTACACTCGCCACGTCACACAAATACATGAATAACATTACAATCATCCAATACACTCATGGTCCGACTACGGTACCAAAATAAAGATCAACCCCCACATGCGACAAAGTCCCCGATCACCCCAACTGGGCACCACCACTGATCATCTGGGAAAGACACATAGTAACGCCGAGAGTCTTCATCAAACTCCCACTTGAGCTCAAGCGCATCGTCTGGAGCGGTATCATCGGTCCCTGCATCTGGTTTTGGAAGTAATCTGTGAGTCACGGGGACTCAGCAATCTCGCACCCTCGCGATCAAGACTATTTAAGCTTATAGGTAAGACAAGGTATGATGTGGAGCTGCAGCAAGCGACTAGCATATATGGTGGCTAACATACGCAAATGAGAGCGAGAAGAGAAGGCAAAAGCACGGTCGAACAACTATGACCAAGAAGTGATCCTAGAACAACCTACGTCAAACATTACTCCAACACCGTGTTCACTTCCCGGACTCCGCCGAGAAGAGACCATCACGGTTACACACGCGGTTGATTCATTTTAATTAAGTTAAGTTTCAAGTTATCTATAACCGGACATTAACAAATTCCCATCTTCCCATAACCGCGGGCATGGCTTTCGAAAGTTCAAATCCCTACAGGGAAGTCCCAACTTAGCCCATCACAAACTCTCACGGTCAACGAAGATATTCCTTCTCCCAAGACATTCCGATCAAACTCGGCATCCCGGTTACAAGACATTCTCGACAATGGTAAAACAAGTCCAGCAACACCGCCCGAATGTGCCGACAAATCCCGATAGGAGCTGCACATATCTCGTTCTCAGGGCACACTCAGATAAGCAATCCGTACAACTAAAACCAACCCTCGAGTTTCCCCGAGGTGGCGCTGCAAGGGGCTCTAGTTTGGACCAACACTCAGAGGAGCACTGGCCCAGGGAGGGGGGGTTAAATAAAGATGACCCTTAGGCTCCGGAAACCCAAGGGAAAAAGAGGCTAGGTGGCAAAAGGTAAAACAAAGGTTGGGCATTGCTGGAGGAGTTTTATTCAAGGCGAACTGTCAAGGGGTTCCCATTATAACCCAACCGCGTAAGGAACGCAAAATCCGGGAACATAACACCGATATGACGAAAACTAGGGCGGCAAGAGTGGAATAAAACACCAGGCATAAGGCTGAGCCTTCCATCCTTTACCAAGTATATTGATGCATTAAGATAACAATATAATATGGTGATATCCCCACAATAAACATGTTCCAACAAGGAACGATCTCCAATCTTCACCTGTAACTAGCAACGCTATAAGAGGGGTTGAGCAAAGCGGTAACATAGTCAATCAACGGTTTGCTAGGACATGATGGGTTAGAGGTTTGACATGGCAATTTGGGAGGCATGATAAGCAAGTGATAGGTATCGTAGCATAGGCATAGCAAAAGAGCGAGCATCTGGCAAGCAAAGATAGAAGTGATTTCGAGGGTATGATCATCTTGCCAGCAAAGTTGTCAGAGTTGACTTGATCCTCGTAAGCGAACTCAACGGACTCCTCGTTCACGAACTCGTCTCTCGACTCTATCCAAACAAGAAGAACAAGCAAACGGAACACAATCAACCACGTGCAATGCTCAAACAACATGATGCAAACATGGTATGATATGCGGGATGCAGTATGCGATGCATATGCAGGATTTGACAATGAATGATTGACCCTGGCCTCAACATGGAAATCCAAGGGTGCCACTGGAAAGGTGAGGTGATTTCGGTTGAAACCGATATAAAGATCACCGGAATCGGATGCACGGTTTGGAAATGGCAAGCAAAACAAATATGGCACCGGTCTGCGATAATCAGCAAGTAACCAACTAAATGCATTAAGTTAAATATGCTACAACACTCAAACATGACAACAAAATACATGGCAGGGGTCCACTAATGATGCTTGACAAAAGATGAACACTGAGCTACGGCTAATTCATCCATTAACAGGTTCAAACAAGCATGGCAAAAGTGCAAATGACAACAAGTTTCAGACTTAGTGAAATTAACACAAGTCTGGAATTATCATCAGGAAGCACACTTTAGAGCATGAAAAACTACAAGCTACAGGAACTCAACATGGCAAAGCAAGGCATTGCATTAAGATACTCAAAGCACTTAACAAAAGTCCCTTAGTGACCTTGAGCCAAAAGGGATCAGAAAATATAATTGCAAGCATGTGAACATAGCAAAAACATAAACAGATTCAGACTTAGTGAAAAACTGGAGCATGCAAATCAGTTAACGAGTAGGCATGTTTACGAGCTCGATGCACTCACCACAGAGCATGGCATGACAAACTAAGCATACACCCATCAAGAAAACATGGCATAGGAGCTAGACATGACAAGAACAATAACATAGCATGCACGGATCAATAGCAACATCCTCGGCAAAATCGCTAAACATGTCAACAATCTGCCAGGATTAATTTATAGCAAAAGTAGAGCTCGATTAACTCAAGCTAGGGTGCTCCATAATTGCAAATAAAGATATGGATGGATAGAGCACCACAATGTAAACAAAACATCATTACTGATCATCCTCAAAAGAGGCACGGATCACTAGGAAACAACATGAACATATGGCATAACAACAAAATCAGGATAAGGACTTAGTGAAATTCTAAGTCCCTGAAATCAGCATTACCGATTATGCTACTTTGCAAGCTTGTGCCAGTCACCACAAATATCACAAAAATACATGGCAAGCACCTCTGTAAGGATGGCATGGCATATAATAAACACATGTAGAGCTCAGGATCATAGCATGCACACATTAATCATGGCAAAAATGACAAAAGGCTATTTGCTGAAACAGATCGGATAAATTCCTCACATAGCCCTCTTCCAACAGCATTTCGGGCATCAAGATGAGCTCAATGAAAATGATGCAATGATATGAAATGATGTACTCGTCGAGACGAACATTTTGAAATGCTACACGCACAAATCGGAGCTACGGATGCAGAGATACGACATGATGAAGATAGCTAAAAATATCAGGAACTGGGGACTTAGAGAAAAACACAAGTCAACCTAGGGTTTCTCTCAGATATGGATCCGGGCGGCACGGAGTTCGATGATCGCTGGAACAGTGCGTGGTCGCCGGAGTCGTAGAGGAAGCAGGGGCTCGCCGGCGCGCTCGTCGGTGCAGGGGAAGCTGCGGTGGCCGGCAACGACCGGCGTCAAGCGGCGGAAGAGGAGGCGGCGAACTGGGGCGGCGGGCGCCGGCGTCGAGGCGGCACGGTGGCTCGCCGGCGTCGAGGCAGAGGCGGCCGGCGACTGGGCGCCGCGGAGGAGGAGGAAGGCGGCGGCTCGGGTGCCCCAGGCGGCGCGGAGCTTCAGGC